GAAGTACTTGGGATCAATACGAACACGGACCTTACCAGTCTCAGAATCTTTACCGATTTCATTCACACCCTCTCCTTCCCAAACAATGGTACGGCCTGTAACCTTGAAAGCCTTTTCGATAAAGCTTCTGACAGTATGTGTTTCGCCAGTAGCCAAAACGTAATCATCAGGCTTATCTTGTTGTAACATGAGCCACATACCTTCAATATAATCACGGGCATGTCCCCAATCACGCTTAGCATCAATATTACCAAGATAAAGACATTCTTGACGACCTAAATGAATATCTGCCACAGCGCGAGTAATCTTACGGGTGACAAAAGTGCGACCACGACGAGGTGACTCATGGTTGAAAAGAATACCATTGGAGGTATACATGTTATAAGATTCACGATAATTGACTGTGATCCAGTAAGCATAGAGCTTAGCAACACCGTAAGGAGAACGAGGGTAGAAAGGTGTAGTTTCCTTTTGAGGAGTTTCGGCTACTTTACCATAAAGTTCGGAGGTAGAAGCTTGATAAAAACGTGTACGATCACTTAAACCACATGTACGAATAGCATCTAATAAACGAAGTGTACCGAGGGCATCGACATCACCAGTATATTCAGACATATCGAAAGAAACCTTGACGTGAGATTGGGCAGCTAAATTATAAATCTCGGTAGGTTGAACCTTGGAAATAATATGAACTAAACAAGTTGAATCAGTCAAATCACCATGATGAAGGAAGAATTTGACACCTTTAAAAAAAAATTGTCCGTAATTAGCATTTTAAATAATATTTGTTTACATATTCATATTACCAGTTTCATGTCTATCTCTATAAATATGTTCAATACGACCTGTGTTAAATGATGATGAACGACGAATGATACCGTGTACTTCATAACCCTTTTCTAATAAAAATTCAACCAAATATGAACCATCTTGACCCGTAACACCTGTCAATTTTTTCTTCGTGTAAGTATTACAGTTTTTTTTTTTTATATGGAATTGAGAGAAAAAGAAAAAGAATAGAGATGAAAAAAAATGAAAGCATTTTGCTCAAAGTCATTGTAAACATCTTCTTTAGTGTTCAATATTTCGTTTCGTTTCTTTTTATTTCTCTCTCTCTCTCTCTCTCTCTCTCTCTCTTTTTTTATTTATTTATTGAAAACTTACCAGTGACAAGGGCTACTTTACGAGTTCTATACTCTTCAATAGATAAAGAGGCAAGCTCGCTATTAATTCCAGTAATAGACATATTTATAGTATCTATGGTTACAATAAAAGCTATTTTAATATAATATCTTGATAAAAAAAAAAAAAGTTTATTTAATATTTACAAACAAATGTTTAAAGTAGAGAGGAAGGAATTAAGTGTGAAAATAAATTTTTCTAGCGTCTTATTTTTTTTTTTTTTTTTTTTTTTTTTTACAGCGATTTGCTGAAAATTAGCCAATCAAAGAAAAAAGATATTTACAAAAAAAAAATATATTTAACAAAGCAGTGATCGAATACTCATTTCCATTTTTCGGTTACTTGTAGACGGACTCTCACTACTCGTCGGTCCGGATATACTAAGCCTTGATTTATTGCTATTGGCAGCTGAAGCAGCTGCATTTAACGTGCTGCTTGATGTTTGTAAAAAGTATTGCTGGGTTGGATGAGTGACTGTAGGCCGATCTGTTGATCGTAATCGAATAGTAGAAACTGGTACAACAACAGAAGGGCCCGAGGTTGAAGAGGAAGCGGAAGGAGGGAATCGGCTTAATAAACTGTTGTTGTACTGTTTCGTGTTATTATGATGTTGGCTTGTGATGGGTGCTATATTGAATTTAGGTGGTGAACATGGTGGTATAATTGACATTTGTGCAAATTTAGCGGTGGTAGATAACGGTTTCTGATCTTTAAGCGTATGATTAAATAATGATCGACTGTTACTATTATTATTATTTTTAAACATTTCTACCTTGGCATAATCATTATTATTATTATTATTACTGTTAGTTGTAACTGTACTGATACTGTAATCAATGCTAGGAGACGCTGGTGATAGTGGTAACATAGGCGAAAACACTGCAATTGGTTCTATATTTTGATAACTCGATTCTGAACTATGAAGTTGTTCATCCGAAGACGTTGTGGATGGCGGCGGTATAACCTCATATTCATGCTTTCTAAACTGAGCTACAATGTATTGCTTAGAAAAACTATTAATGTCATAGAGATTTGCTCCAAGACCGCCTCCAATATAAACTACAACTTTATACAATTCGTACTCTCCGCATCGTTTTTTTATATGAATCGAATCAGAAAATGACCTAGACCCATTCGCTTTAATACTTAATATGCTTTGATCTGTATTACTAAATAGCGCGGATGTTGTTCTTTCTGTAGGCGGTAAGGGTACGGTAGGTGTTGCATTCTTTATCATATCCATGGCGTTGTCTAATAAAAGTCTATGAAGTCGGGCTAAGCGATCTGAATCTTTGGGTGATATAAAATCATAAAATGATCTATGGGCGAGTTCTTGAGGATAATAACCCCAGCACTTTATAGTATCATTGGATACTTTAGCACAACATACTTCCATTGACATAATAATCGACAAGTGTTGGTCTACATGACTTTCGTTCTTCACTTCATAATTTGTAATAATAGCATTGTTATTTAATAGAATTGATTTGTCTATATTAGTATTGTCATCAGTATAATCAAAAATAGGTTGTTGTTCTATGGGTAAGGGTGGTGGTGGTAATGGTGGGGCTGTAAGAGCTGATGTAAGCTGGGTAGTTGGTAATACATCTAGAAACAATGCATCATGTATATTACTGGTATTGTAATCATAAGTCAAAGGGATACTAGGGACATTATTTTGGTGAATTATATCTGTTGACTGATGATGATGATGATGATTATTATTATTATTTGACTGAAAAGATTCAATGGGTTCATGAATAAAGGAGATTGGAGGTGGAAGTTTAACGGCTTTTGGTAATTTTGCTTTAAATGGTGGCACCTGAGTATTCGGTACTATATTTCTAGTGGAATTATTTTTTGAAATAGATGGAGTCTGTATCGTTCCGTATAGAATCTCGTAAGTGTGTTCATTTGATGAATAAATTTTCTTTTCTCGAAGTTTCGGTCTTCCTCTTTTTTTATGTTGCATATCTTGACATGTATCTGTTTTCTTTAATCCAACACATCTTTGACATGGTCGGGATACTATAATTATGCAAGAATTAATATAATGAATAGCATATATTTTTTTTATATACTCACCATCACATGCCAAATGTGCTATTCTACAATTCACACCTAAAAAATATATATTTATATAACCTCAATATTCTGTTTTTTTTTTGGGGAAAAAAAAAAGTCAATTGTCTCTATACATACAAGCACTTGGAACGTGTGATTTGTATCCACGCTTGGCTGGTGTTGTAGTCGTCTTTGTCGTTTCAGGCGACGATTTTTGTACTGTAGTTATGATTGTGCAATTATCCGATTTTCCTCGGGAAACACAACTTGAGCAAGGTATGGTGGCTACACATAACGTTAATATTCAATTTTTTTTTTCTTTTATGTTGCTATAGTAACTTACAATTACAATTGAGCTGATCTTTTTTACAGTTTTCACCTAGAAAAAAAAAGAGAGAGAGAATACAAAAAAGTTAAATATACACTGCAAGTTGATAAATAAATAAATAAAAAAAAAAAATTAAGGGTGAGAATTCCCAACTATTTACATGCAGAAGGCAAATTATTTCTAGTTTCGTTATTTACCACATTGGCTGTTGAGATGGAAGTCTCTGTGGTAGTATTGCTGTTCATTTACTTCACGATATCTCCTTTCTTTTTATGGTTGAATTTGTTAAAAGGAAGAGACAACTAAAAAATATTTTTTGGTGTGAAAAAGAAAATTCAAAATAAGCCTCCAAATTGGGTCAAGCGACTCTTTCGTTATTTCGCTGCTTTGTAAAAAATAAAAAATAAAAGAATCAAGTTATTGATATCTTCATTGATATGTAAGCTTTGGGGGGGGGTTTTTTTTTTTCATTTCTTATTCTGCAAAAGAGCTAATTTTTAAACCCTTTCTTTTTTAATATAATCTAATCAGCACATGGATAACATTTCTACCATGTCTTCTTTTATGGATGTGTAACTTTCTTCTTGGTTTTTAAATTGCCGACTCCTTTTCTCACACCACACAAAAGCGATAATCCATAATTTGAAAGCAATTTATCAGAGCTGGAGAAAAAAAAAAACGATTATAACCTAATTTTCTAGGAAGAGGTCTCCATATATAACGTTGTTTCTAAGCTCTTCAATTAGAGTAACTACTAAAAACTTTCAAATCTCAGTCAAAAAGGGTTTTAAAAGTACCTCTGTAACAAGAGATACACTTACATTCCTAGCCTATTAAAATGTAATAGCTAAGTTTCTATAGGCTATATTTCAAAACGAACGTCCACCAGTCTTTTACCAGAGATTTGAGAAACATGATATTTTTTAAGTTACATGTGTCCTGAAACAATGGTAAAAACGTTACTCTTTGTGTGATGTTAATTTATTCTTGTTCAGGGTCATTAAACTTTAAATATACTACTAAAATCCAAAAAAAAAAAGTTATCAATTGCTAAAATTGAAATGAAATAAAAATCGACACTGATCTCTTACAAATAGAGAAAACTAACTGGTTGTTACTCTTCTCTATACAAATAATCAATTGATAGATTATCCGTCGTCCACCATTTGTTGTTTACATGCAAAGAGCTTTTCTACATTCAAAGCTCCTCCCTTCGGTATCTCTTGTGATGAATAGTAACCGAGAGTTCTTCAATCGAAGCAGATGCTTCATATTTCCTTATTAGGATCTACTTTATCATTGGTCTTCTTTATATTTTTGCTGATCTTTCAGAGAGATTTACTGCTACATACACTTTCAACAAAGAAGAAGCTCTGTTTTTGATCTCTTTACGTTACACAAGGATAAAGGCCAATACAAAAAAAGATGCCTCAAGAGTGATTCGAACACTCAACCTTCCCTTTACGAGAGGGACGCTCTAGCCGTTGGAGCTATTGAGGCATACACGATCTCCGAAAAAGTCACCTTTTATTTATACCAAAGGCCAAAATTTTTGTGTCCGGACCGGACAGTTTGTGATTTGTTTCGATGTTTCGGTTAGAGTTGCGAGCCGGGGTGTATATATGCTATGTTTACTTTGAAGTATTATATGATGCAGCAGTACGATAATTTCAAGTATTTTAATCAGGATACACCAGCAGAGTTTTTGAGGGAAAAAAAATCTACAAGCTTATTGAAAAAATTCACTTCACATTAAACAACACTATTTGAGAGCCACCTATTTACAACGACATCGGTTAATATAAAGACTAAAAAAAAAAAAAAAAAAAAAAAAAAAAAAAAAAAAAAAAAAAAAAAAAAAAAAAAAAAAAACTGTATCATCAGGGAAATAAACTTTACTTAATAAAGTAACAATACAACTCTATATGATATACGTATGTCAGAGCCTGAACATTCTAATATGTATAATTTACCCGAACGAACTTAGTACGTAGTAAGGCCCATTAAAAAAAAAAGGGATCAACGGAAAAGGCAAAAATACAGTTTGAGCTAATAATACAAAAAGATTTAGTGTGAGTAGTTTTTTTTTCTTTTTTTTTTTTTTTTGCTAACTATTCGGGAAATATAACTACAATAAAAAAAAAAATATCTTCCCATCAAATCACTTTTTGGAAAAAAAAAAAAATAGGTACCGTGATGAGAGGTAACGTTCACAAAGTAAAATCATGCATTGAACCACAACAAAAGAATAACAATTCCTGAAAAAAAAAAAAAAAACCTTGGTAATATACTCATCACAAAATCAAGGAGCTCAAAGGAGGAATAATGTCAACTCATTCTACTAATAACAGTTTTTTTTTTTTTTGAAGGACTCAGTGTAGTTTAGTTTAATTTATCCGAGAGAGGTGTTACAAGGTTCATTTTTATTATAGCTCGATTCTTTTATTCAAGCCACCCTTTTGATTGAAACATTTAGAAGATTATGACGTTTAAAGAATCTAAAAGGCTTGTACTATAAACTCGATTATATTTTTTTTTGACTGAAAGATAAAAGGTCTTGGTGAAACAACAAATGAGTGGACCCAAGTAGGTTTTTTTTTTTTTTATGTCTTCATACATACCCCCCTCCCCCCCTTTTTTTTTAACCATTGAAAAAACTAAAAAAAATATTTTAAGCCCATTTTCGTAAAAAGAAAAAGTTGCTAACTTAAAAAAAAAAAAAAAAAAAAAAAGATGGCTAATATTACTACTTGCTAATATACTTTTCTGAAAAGAAGATCCAACAAATGCTATATAATATGCTTACATAGCTCAATATACTTTCTCTCCTTGCAAGTGGGGGAAAAAAAAAAGTATTGCGTCAAGTTTAGGATAATAACTGTCAGATATTTAATTACTTTTTTCAATAATATCCATGGGGCTCCTCCCGCTCGAGCCTTCTCTAAATACGTCGGTTGATGGGTAAATTGATTTATGCGAATGATCTTCTTGACTCAAGCTCAAAAATGTAATATAGTGATAATGCGGCCAATTTTTTTTTTCTGAGCCTTCTTGGCGATGCGTTTTTTTTTTTTTTTTTTTTTTTTTTACTAAATTAACTTTTTACTAAAATTATAACTTTTTACCGAAAAAAAAAAAACTTTAAATTGCATCAATCATTATCCTGATAACAAAAAAAGTATACACTTTTTGGGTAGTGTATAAAAAAAAACATTGTTATTTTTTTGTTATATAATGTAATTTTTTAAAGACAAAAAATTACGTTCATTGTATATATCATATTCATTTTGTTTGATGGCAAGATAATTTTTTTTTTTTAAAATATATATATAATGTGATATCTCCATCACAAAAAGTGTCACGTAAAAGAATCACTTCACACATGAGATTGCATTTTGACCAACAAATGATTTGTCTTACCGGGATCCAAAATAGATTAGAAAAATAGACGCAAAAGAAGGGAAAAAAAAAAAAAAAAAAAAATCGAGTTTCCATAGTTTCCAAAAAGTATTTATTATTACTTTATTACTCAACAGAGTGTTGTTAATAATTTACGATTTAAAATTTCAAGTGAGAAAGGCTGGCTATTAAATATATTACAAATGTATTGAATTTGTAATCCATATAAAATAAATACATTATCCAGTAATGGATAATATAAGCACACACACACACACACACACACACACTCATCCTCCTCCTGATTAATTTTCGGTTATAATAATATCATTCCTCCTCTTTCAATAGCTTATCAGCTCAGTAAAACAATAAAAAAATATTTTTCTTGATCTGAGTCACACACACATATTTTTTTTTTTTTAAAAAAAGTTGGACATTTTATATGTCATATATAATTTTGTATAATGCAAGTAGTGGCGAGCTTTTTTTTTATTTTTTTGAAGTGGGTCGATAAAAGAAAACTTAATAAAAACAAATTGGGAGTTTTTTTTTTTTTTTTTTTTTGATTGGTTAAAAAGTAATAATCATGGGCTGTTAAATCGGCCCGTTTCCTTACAAAGTAATTTTAAATTACAAAGAGAGAGCGGATTAAAAAAAAAGAAAAAGCGGTTCATTATTTTTACCGATAAAGGCTTTTAAAAAGAAAAAAGGGGGAGCAGTTTAAGGTATTATTCATGCAAAACGGGTGTTTATTTAAGCTATTTTTTTTTTTTTTTTAATTTATATAAAAAGTCATTTTTTTTTTTTTTTTGCACCTTTTTTTTTTTTCCTTTTTTCTTTTTGATATACACAAATCACTAAATTATATGAAAGCAAAGATCAACTTGCACAATCGACCTAATGGAAGAATTGATACTTTCCAACCTTATACTTCATCAGTTAAAAATACGGTCGTCGTCGATAGAGACAATCGACTGAACGCTGCTTATAACGCAAATTACGGTCAAGCCTGTTTATTATTACAAGCCATTCAAATGAACGGTAGACGTAGACTAAGCAATAAATGTATCTGTAAGTTTGGCCTTTATCCATCTTTTGAATAAAAAAAAAAAAAAAAAATTTCCTAATCCATCAAACTTTTTTTTTTTTTTTAGTGCAACTTGCTAGTTTTGTAGCTAAAGCTTGGGAAAAAACCCCAAATGAAAATGAAGTAATAGCACTTGCTAAATTAATGACGAATTTACTCGATACAACTTTACTTTGCCCTGAAAAACCATTTGATGAAGCACTAAAACAATTTTGTCGTAACAACATTCCTACTCATTCTGTCTCACCTTCCATTACTTTATTAATCGCCATTGGTTATATTGAACGATTAAAGCTGAGGTATACCAACATTAAAGGTACACCGGGCTGTGGACATCGATTGATCATGGTGGCTTATATGATGGCTGCCAAGTTTATGCATGTCAATTTAAAGTCGATGATTGATACCCGTGAAACCACCACCACCACCACTTCTTTACCCCCTCATCATCTGACACCTACTTCAGCTGAACGATCTACAATACAACAACAAAAGACATATACCCTACCACCGATCCATACCGAACAATTACCTTCTCCTCCTACATCACCTAAAGCATACTACTCGGATTCTGACCCACTTAATTATCATTATTTTCAATCTCCTAAAAAAACTACTACTCCTACTACTACTACTACTACTACAAATAATACAACACCTTCTCCATCAACACAACCTGCTGCTGTCCGTCAAGAACGTCATTATCAAATACTACGCATGGAACTTGAATTCTTAAACTTTTTAAACTATGATCTTTCACTATCTGATACATTAAACCTCGTTCATTGGGCTCAAGGTTTCCAAGACGACGACGATGATGAAGAAGAAGAAGAATTTCAATATACTTCTGGAGATGAAGGTGGTGACGAATCTGAATTCTGAATTTTGGTGCTAAATAATTTTTTTTTCCATCGGTTAACATATCCGAGGGAAAAGTATTTCCCAAAAATAATATAACAATAAAAATGGTTTTTTTTTTTTTTTTTTTTTTTTTTTTGCTTTTTGATGTTTTAAGAGAGCCTAAAGCCTGTATTTAGGAAGAGAGCCTGAAGCCTGTATTTAGGAAGAGAGCCTCCTAAAGCCTGTAATTAAGAAGAGAGAGAGAGAGATCTTTTTTGTGTACCCGCGTAATAGAGTCAAGTGATGCGAATGTGCCATTTTTTTTTTTTTTCTCTCTTTAGACAGCATGTTATGATTCCTTGACCAATAATAAACGTGAATAAAAAAGGTCCCCGGATCTGTTGGAGTGATGTAAATAATAGAGAGAGAAGAAGGAGGTATTTCTATGTGAAACGTTTTAAAGTAATAATAATAAGAAACCCCCTTTTTTTTTTTTATTTTATTTATTTTAAAGAAAAGGGGAGGGAAAAAAAAAAGAAGAAGATATAAAGTATCCATATTATATATATTATTATATATAATATTTTTATTATTGCTGAATAACAAGAGCATCTTGTTGATAATAAAAACCACCACCACCCACACCACCCGTCAGGGTTACATCAGCAAATTTAGCAACAGAAACCACAGTTGGATCACAACTAGTAACGGCCAAACCCACATAAATATCTCGTGCCATGGCTGTTTGATTCTCAATCTCACTAAACGTTTCCCAATCCTCTTCTTCAGTGACGGAAGCAATCTGTGCCATGAATTTCGTATTGCCTTGTCTCAAAAGGCGTAAACGATAAGGAGGTGATAATCGCTTTTTCTTCATGATCTGTGTCGCATCCAAATTAAGTTGACGTCGATGAATAAATAATCCATCTTGAGGTGACACCCCCAACATGATATGAGGAGATCCATGCGCTAAATGCTCTCGCATCATAATACCTGCTTTAGCGCACGAAGCAAACGCACTATGCGATTCAATCGTCACTTGAATCGTACCATTACCAGAGAGCGCTTGATACACAAATCGAAAACTATCTTGCTCACTAAATCCTTTACCTGATCCCCAAAGTGTAAACGTCTTGGCTGAATCGAATGAGACCGATCCTACTAATCCTACATT